TTGTTTTTTGGCAGCACTGTGCAGCTGGTGGGATCTCCGACCAGGGATGGAACCCGTGCCCCCTGCACTGGGAGCGCAGAGTCTTAGCTACTGGACCGCCAGGGAAGTCCCAGAGCATGAATCTGATCTCAGGTGTCTTCACTTAAAACCGAAAGCTCAGCCTGGTCCTCAGCACAACGAGGCCCATGCCTGCCTTGTGGCTCTGACCACTGTTGTCCTAAAATGGCCTCATTCCCTATCAGGTGGCATGTGCCCGTCCTACAGAACTGTCTTACACAGCAGCACACTCACGGGCTCTCTCACCCCCAGGTCTTACCACCCAGAACCTGGTTCGACCCTACACGCCCCTCATGACTCCACTTAGAGGCTGCCTCCCCCTCCCGCCCCCCCACCCCGAAGCTTCCGTAACCACCAGCTCTGAGCTCCCCAGGCTGAGTTTACCCCATTTATAGCACTGTCACGCTGCCCTGGCCCTGCCTGTTTCCTTTTCTTTCTCTCCCACAGATGGTGAGCTCCTTGGAAGCAGGACTGTGTCTCATTCACCCCTAGCAGAGTGCCTAAAAACCCGAATGAACTTTTTGGCCAACCCAATATTTGCAAATCCATAAATTAGGTCCAAGGAGTTACGTGACTCGCCTGAGATCCAGTGAGCTGGGCAGGGATGGGGCTGAGAGTCACTGTGGAGTTCGGGCCACTGAAGCCCAGGCCTTCCTGCTGGCCTTGACCCCCTGTGTTTAGCTCGGGCTTTTCACATCACTCTTGCTGTGGGGGTAGGAGAGGGAGTGGGGAAGGGCCTGGGAGAATCAAGCTTGGGATGCTGAGTGCTGAGCTAAAAGTCTGAGGACGGGAGGGACAAAGGAATGAACTAAGACCTCGACAAAATGCCACCAGCTAAGAAAAGAAAAGCAAACATGCACATCCAGCTGGATGAGGACGAGGGCTCCAGCCTGGGCCACTGGCACCTCATGTCAGGAGGAACAAATCTTCCAGCTAGGGCCATACACAACCCACGGGGATGAACCTGAAATTAGCCCGTCTGTCCACAAATGCGTGCTCCACGCCACTGAATCACTAGCGATCTGCCCAACACGTCCCCACACATTTCCTCACTGGTCCCTTCCCAATAGTGACACACCAGGCTAATGGAAACGTAATTCCAGGAGACAGGACTGCGGTTTCCCTTGTGCTGGAGTGAATGAGCAAGTCCTGAGCGGGGCCCAACGTGCCAGAGGCTTGGTGCCAAGACCTCAGGGCAGAACAGCCAAAGCAGGGCCAGCCCAGTATCTATGGGTCTGCACCACAAGGACGGGGTCAGGAGTGAGGTGGCAGCAGCTTGTGCAGCGATCCAGGCCCTGCTGGGAAGGGCAGAGGGGAGCCACCAGGGAGTCTGTTTTGGATGCAGACATGAGCAGGAGTGGGGCTCTTGGGGCCTGGATGAGAGGGAAAGGGGGTTCTGGCTCTGACTCCCCAGGAATCCAGCAGGAGGACCTGCCACAGGCCCAGCTCTGACCAACGCAGAGACTGGAACTGGGAGGTCAGGGTGTATGTGCAATTTTGTGTGAGATCATTGGTTAGAAATTGTGGTTTCTGGTCATTCCTTTCTTCTGGGTGTTGGGGATACAGTCGTGAACAAGACAGGCCTGGGGGCTGCCCCAGTGGAACCCACAGTCTACTGAGAAGGCACAAGAAACAGGGTATCAATAAACACACAGCTCCGCAACTGCGTGACTTCCCCGCCTCAGCTGCTTCATTCGCATCTGAGATGATAATAGCAGTGCCTCCCTCAGAGGGCTGTTATGAGGATTAAGTCAATTCTTCATCATAATAAAAAAGGAAAACAGCTTGAAGGGCTGTCAGTAGGGGAGTAGCTACATCAGGCATAGTGAGTCCGCACATGCAGGACTGAAACAGGAAGGAGCTTCCTCTCATGTTCAAACAAGGAGAGATCATGAAGACGTTTCATTAAAAGGAAAAAAAGTCATACTTTCATCATGCTGCCAACAATAAAACACACACACAGATAAAACTCCTCCTCCATGAACAGACAAGGTCATGTCAACACACAAAGAAAGGTCCAGAAGGCTGGACAAGCACATGATCCAAAAGACTAAAGGGATCACATGGGCCTGGTCCCTAGTAAGCGTTCTTAAAACATGAGCCACTATTAATTATAAGTTTAGGGAAAGATTTCCTTATGTTACCTGTTATTATTTTGTTGTTTTTTTTTTGCGGTATGCGGGCCTCTCACTGTCGTGGCCTCTCCCGTTGTGGAGCACAGGCTCCGGACACGCAGGCTCAGCGGCCATGGCTCACGGGCCCAGCCGCTCCGTGGCATGTGGGATCTTCCCGGACCGGGGCACGAACCCGTGTCCCCTGCATCGCCAGGCGGACTCTCAACCACTGCGCCACCAGGAAAGCCCTATGTTACCTATTTTTAACTTGAATTAGGGTAAGTGGAACATTTTACCTTACTCTTAATAAAGCTAAATTTTAAACATTCCTTTTTGTTTACATCTAATCCTACATGACCATCATCTTTCTGCTGGTCTCTGACCTGCAGAAGAAAAGGGTTTAAAAAAAAAAAAAGAGATGAGGATTGTTCTCCTTCCCTTGGTTTCCAGGTCTGAATGTTTCCTTAGGAATTTGCTCTGGGTATTTGACGAGCACATTGCTCAAGCTACTTCCCATGTCAACATGTGTCAACATACAAATCCTCTTACCCCCCTGAGAGGTGGGGTTATCACCTGCAACCCTGAGAGGTTCAGTCACTTGCTGAAGGTCACGCAGTGACTGAGTGCGGGGGGACCGCAGTCAACCAATCCATCTAATCTCTCCTTCTCCTTCTCTCTCTCACATGTACGTGTGAGACACACACACCCTATGCATCTATGGGTGGTTTACTGTTGTCATTTCCTGGTTACTGACTCTCAGGCACAATTATAATTAGCAAATGATCTGTGCCACAAGCTGAAAAATATTTAATGGCCCCAGAGGAAGGATGGGGCCTAAGTCACTGGTTTACCTGCCACTGTCATTAATAATTACTGATGATTTTTTCTATTATGAAGCACAGAACTGACCGACTCAAACAGAGCAGGACATAAAATCTCCAGGCCGAGATGTTCTCTACATTCAGCTGCGGACGCAGCAATGATGGGCCTGACTCTGAATGCCTGCTAAAAATCTGTACTCATCTGATTCCCAGGACAGCTCTGATCTGTCTTGTCCAGGGAGGGGAGAATAAGGACCAGGTGACTAAAAGGCACCGCTGCAGCTAGAAGAGCTGAGAAGAGCAGGCTGTGGGACTGAGGACACACTCTGAATGCCACACATCTCACCGGAAGCAATGACTGTAGGTTAGATGGAAGCTGAGCTGGATTGGGCTGTGGATGACATGCAGGGGCTTCACTGGCCAAAGAGACCAGGTTCTGGCAGAAGTGAGAGAAAGGTTGGGGACAGAGCTGCCATCCCTTGACATTATCCAGTAGGGGTGACTTGGCCCCCATCCTGCCCATCTCCCACCCTCTCCCCCTCCCCCTCTCTGAGTCTGGAAGGCTCAGCCCCTATTCCTCATCCCTATGGCTTTCTCTGACCACTCAACAGGGAAGGTGATCTTGTTGCCTCTGGGTTCCTCCAGCAGTTACACTCTGCACATGATGTTCTCCCTGGCTCTCTTTGGTTCATTCCACAAATATTTGCTAAACAACTGCTCTGTGCCAAGCACTGATCAGGTGGTTGGGGACCCTGCAGTGGGTAGGAGAGGTGGATCTCTGCCTTCGTGAAGCTCACAGGCTAGTGGGAGAGGCAGAGAGAGAAGCAGGTAAATGACGTGGGGTTGCAGATCGGGTAAGTACTGTGAAGGAAACAAACAGGAGGCCAAGAAAGAGGCCGTGGGGTGGAGAGACCCCAAAGAAGGCCTCTCTGGGGAGGTGACATTTAACTAAAATTCTAAATGTCTATTTGCTCTCTGTGGCTCCCAACAGGCCGCAGGGCTAGGGTAGTATAACCCTCATGATGAGGGGTGCTCTTCTAGCTCAGTTAATGCTCCAGGACGAGGATGTGACTCGAGTGACTGCCTTGGTGAGTAAGTGCCCCTCTCTGATACACCCCTTCAGTGATCTGGCAGCAGCAGCAGCAAAGCCCAAAGCCAGCAGTCCCAGAAAGCATTTGACCCAACAGAATTGTCTCTGGCTCAGAGCACAAAGCCGGACCCAAGGAGGCCGACGACACAGGTGTGCTGGATGTCTGAACAAACTTCCAGCTTATACACACCTGGCCTGCTGCCGGGAGGTCTGGAGGCTGGTATGACCTGTCTGAAGGGCAACTTGGCAAAATCTGCCAAAAGGTACAATGCTTATGCCCTCTGACCCAGCAAATCCCACCACCTGGAATCTATCTGAGAAAATACTGGCACGTGTATACGAGAGTATGTGGAGGGATATGCAGGGCTCTTCCGTTTATAATAGTGAAATCACCAGAAGCAACCTCAATGTCTATCAGTAGTGGCCTACCCAGTCGTAAAAATCATAGGACATCCTCCCACAGGAGGGATATCACAGAGCTGTTAAAAAACATGATCTCAAGGTGAGATCATTAAGTGAAAAACAGCAAGTCAAAGAACAGTACTTAGAGTGGGATGTCTTTGTGTTTGCTTATGGACTCAGCTGTCTGTAAACGCACAGAGGAAGTCTGCAAAGACACAGACCAAACTGATTCTAACGATCACATCTGCCCTAGGGTGGAAAGGGATGGCACCCAGGCGAATCTTTACTTTTCATTCCATATGCTTCTATTTTGTTTGACTTCTTTTCCCTGGCAATAATGAATTCATGTGTTATTTGTATGATTAAAAATACATTTAAAAGAGATTTTTGAAAAAGATAAAGGACAATGCCAAGAGATCAACCTGGTTTTTCTCTGTAGCTCAGTCACTAAAACCCTCCATCTACTTGGCCTCTGTACCCACCCCCATCCCCATCCCCCTTTTTCCAACAATTCAGTTTCTCCTGCCTTTTTTTTTTCTCCTGCCTTTGATGGCACCTGACAACTTGCAAACATCTCCCATGCCAATTTCAGAGAGCCTTTTCTCATAAAGGCAGCCCTAGGGAAAAAGCTGTTATCTGGCAAGTTCCATGGATACTTCATAATCACTGCAACTTGTACTCCTGACCCACACTCAACACTCATGACCTGACAGCAAGCTGTGTGGACTATTTCAGTGGAGCTCGCCAAGCTCCCCAGAGGCCCAGGGTAGGCCCAATGCCCTCACATGCCAGTCATCACTTTCAAAGGAAAAGTAAGGGGATTTCAGCAAGAGAGAAGAGCCAGAACAACCTTTTGGATTTATTCAAGGTACTAAGTTGCACCCTGCAGATTTCTGTTTGCGTGGACACAGGTAGGAAGGGCTGAGCATCCGCCATCAGTAACCTGTGTGTGTGACAGCAGAACAGACCCCCTGGCCTGGTCCTATCCAGGCTACAGGGCCCTCCTGCATCTTTCTTTCTGCTGTACACAAACCAAGATAAATAGCTGGACTGGACATTAGTTGTCCAGAAATGTCCATGCAGGAAATACCAGACCCATCAGTCACTGCAAGAGCCCTAACTCCCTTCTTCTTTCCCAGCAGCTAACCTTGGAGGCAAGCATCTCCCTGGGGATTATTCACTGGCATCACTGGTCTTTCAGGCGAGCCTTGCTTCCCATCCCGTCCATTATGCACAGGAAATGCCAGGCTGTGCCAATGACAATTGAAATGGTAAACGGTACAAGTGATTCTCATAAGACCTTGACTCAACAATTAGGACAGAGCTGACATGAGGGAACGCAGCACAGTGGATGAGGGGACTTCAGGGAAGTTTGCTAAACCACCTGCAACAGAATCTCTGGAGAGCTTGTTAAAAACACAAATTCCAATCATCGCGTCTGGGAGCAGGATCAGGGAATCTGCTTTTTTTTTTTTAACAAAGCCACGTGATTGTGACAGTCGTAACATAAGCACAGGATTTAAAACATATTAACAGAATCCACATTTTTTAACAAGCTACCCCCTGTGATTCTGATGCTGAGAACCACTGTTCTATGGCACCAGGGGAGAGGCTCTCCCTGGACCAGAGGAAGGTCGGAGCTCCTTGCTGGTACTTCTCATTCTGGGACCCGCTCAGCCTCCTCTCCTGCTACTCCCAGCTGCACAGTTTCTGCTCCAGACGCGCCCAGCAGCTGGACCAAACTATTCCTCATCTCTCTGCCTTTGCTCCCGCTGCTGTGAAGTCTGGAAAGTCTCTCCTCCCCTTTGCCTGTCCCCACCCCCCCAGCCCTCGCACGCTGCAGCCACTCCAGGGGCCGCGCAGCTCAGGCGATTACAGAAAGAGGGTGGCCTCAGGAACTGAGTCTTCTTCTGAACTTGGTTCTTGCCTCCTCCAATGACCTTGGACAATCGACAACCTCTGTGAGCCTTGGTTCCCATTTGTAAAATACGGATAACACTGTCTCACAGGCTTGCTCTGAGAATTCAACGCAACAAACTTTAGCCAAATTCAGCTTCCCCTGCTGCTCTTACTGACCTACCTTCTCTATGGGACCTCATTCTCGTTCCAAAATCCTATTTGGCAGAACCCAGGGCCCAGGTCGAATGTCTGAGGCTACAAAATGAATCCCTGTCCCTGTGCTGCCCTTGACTCTTACCTGCCCAACGTTGAAGGTCAGTGTGATGGCATAAAAGAAATTGGAGTTGGCACTTCCTGCATAAATCCAGAGGTGCCACAGGACAGGGAAGAGGAGGGAGCAGATGATGATGATGCAGGCGAGGACAAATACGTTTCGCAGGACTGCAAAGACAGACGATGGTCAGTTAGCCCAGGGCTGACTCCCGCTGGGGCCCTTTCCTTGCAGTGACGGCCCTGCAGGACAGAGTGGCCCACGAAGAGCTTGGTGTAGCTCAAAGGCAGAACCCCCCGCCATTCCCTCCCCAACACACACAAACTCAGAGGTGCCAGGGCGCCAAGACGCAGACCTCAGACCCGTGGCAATGGTTCCTCACACCCAAAGCTGGCAAGCGGTCCTAGATTTGGACTCTACCTCCCACTGTGGGCTCGGCTGGCTACAGTCGGCAAGCTGTGAATGCCTCTGGGCACCACAAGGAGGCATTTCAGCAAGACACTGCCCTCTAACCCCCAATCCCGGGGTGTCCAAGAGTAGCTCCTCTCCTGTCCCCAAGCAGGGTGCTATCTGACCAGTGAATCATGGATGGAAATGGCAGCATGAACCTCTCAGTATCTCTATGGTGCCACAGCCCTGGGTCTTAGGAATACATTTTCCATTCTCCTCAATTCACGTCTTAAGTCTCCTGCCCTGCTCTTCAAATGTCCCTCACTCTTCCTTAGACGATTTAAAAGTCTCTTTTTGACACCCTCCCTCTCTAACCTCACCCTCTACCCCCGGAAGGAATGCGGAATCCCACCAGGGAGAAAGCTCCCCCTAACGCTCCAGGGAGGACCTGCTACACAGGGTGGTCCGTGGGCAGGCAGGCTGAGTTCCGCTGGGGGAAGGCACAGCCTCGGCTTCAGAGAGACTTTGGTGAAAATTCCTGCTCTGCCACCAAGTTTCTCAGAGTCTCAGCTTCCCCATCTCTAAAATAGGGCTAAAATGCCTACTTCATGGGAGTGTTCCATGAACTAAACAAGTTGTGTGGAAAAGCTGGCACAGATGTATTACTGTGTGTTTTCCATTGCTATGGTAACAAATTACCACAAACTTAGTGGCTTAAACAATATAATTTATTATCTTACATTTTGGGAGGTCAGAAGTCCACAGACTCTGGTGGCTCTAGGGGAGAGTCCACTTGCTTGCCGGTGCGGCATGTAGAAGCTGCCTGCATTCGTGGCTCATGACTCCCTCCATCTTCAACCAGCAATGTCGGATTAAGTCCTTCTCACGTTGTATCACTATGGCCTCCTCTTTTGCCTCCCTCTTCCACTTTTTTTTTTTGGACTTCAGTTTTTAGAGCAGTTTTAGGTTCACAGCAAAACTGAGCAGAAGGTAAAGATTTCCCATATACCCACTGCCTCTACCTCTTCCACTCTTAAAGGCCCTTGTGATTACACTGGGCCCACCTGGATAACCCAGGATAATCTCCCCATCTGAAGGCCCTTTTGTCATGTAAGGTGATATAGTCACAGGTTCTGGGGATTATGAGATGGATATCTTTGTGGGGGGCAAGGAGGGGACATTATTCTGCCTATGACACTGTACTTTTTTTTTCTTTTAATTCACTAGGGGATATCTGACAATAGGATTATATACTATTATTGTTTCTTTCTTTACACTTTATTATATTTTTAAATAAAATAATAAATATTATTTAAACTTAATTAAAATAATATATTTTAAAAAAAATTACCACTTATAAAAAAAAACCTTAGGTCTGGTTCCCGGCAGGCACTTAGTGAATGGAAGTTCCCTTCCCCTCTCTGATCCTGACCTTCAGGAAATCCCTTCTCCCAAGTCAGAGTTTTGGGATATTTAAGAGATGGGGAAACCCCCGATCCTTAAGGCCTCTTGTCTCAGTTGTACAATGACTCGGTTGAAATGCTAAACTTGGGGTTCATGCATTGGAAAGGGGACTGGATTACAGACAAGGTTCTCAATTCTGGTTGTAAAATGAACTAACATGGGGAGCCTCACCCAGACTAAGTAAATCAGAGTCTATAGGGGTGGGGACCAGGCATCCATATTGTTTTTTTAATTTTTTAATTTATTTTTGGTTGCCTTGGTTCTTTGTTGCTGAGTGCGGGCTTTCTCAAGTTGCGGCGAGCAGGGGGTCCTCTTCGTTGCAATGCATGAGCTTCTCATTGCAGCGGCTTCTCTTGTTGCGGAGCACAGGCTCTAGTCTCGTGGGCTTTAGTAGTTATGTCACGCGGGCTCAGTAGTTGCGGTGCACAGGCTTAGTTGCTCCACGGCATGTGGGATCTTCCCGGACCAGGGATCGAACCCGTGTCCCCTGCAATGGCAGGTGGATTCTTAACCACTGTGCCACCAGGGAAGTACCTCATATTGGTTTCTAAAAGCTTCCCTGGTGATTCCAATATGCAGCCAAGGCTCTGAGCCACTAGATTACAGCTGCAGACCTTTGCCAAATAAGAGGCCCATAATGGTCTGCAACAGAGACTTCACTGGTCAGTGTCACAGTGAGAGTAAGGAGAAGGTAGTTCAGAGTTCTTATTAAAGCTGAATGTTTTCAACTTAAGCTTCATTCTTTCTTAAGAAATGATAGGTATCTTGTTGCCTGTTGCTGTTGTTAAAAAGTATTTTCCTTTATGAAATGGGGATGAATGACTAGTAGTTGACTGTTTTCATGTCTTCAGAAAAATAAAAAGTTGGCAACTCTGTCACCAGAATTTTTTGAAATGTTAGTGGTCCGTGAAATCCTACAATTTGGAAACATGGCTTGGAGGGCTTGCAAGGTCCTCTTTTCTGATCTGAAATTTCCACAATTCTGGGTTTTCAAAGCTGAGAGGTGAAAGCCCTGACTCAAGCCTTTCTGAGACCTGTCAGAAGCCTTTTCCTTGCTCCCAGAAACAGAAGTCTGGGAAAAGGGATGTGTGCGCTGAGAATTATTATTATTGTTATTATTATTAAATAGTGTTACAACCTCAAGAAAGAACATATCTATTTAACATTCCTCCACTCCAACATCACTATTTACATTTCTCAGTGGTTCTTTTTGATCCCCTGGAAATTATTTTGCTGAAAAGAATATACACTATTCCTAATATAAAACTCCTGTGGCCTGATAGTGCAGGGTAGGTCTTTGTTCCATGCCTCTAGCCACTCTGGATTTCAGACCAGGTGACAAGAAGGTGACCAAGTGCAGAGACTGAGAGAGGTTCACATGCAGCTCCTGGGTGCAATCACACAAAGCTGCGAAGATACATTCCCATGTGCCTGGAGGAACTGTCACCAGCATCCAGTTGGCTTCTGGCCTGTGGTGACCTTTGCAGGACTGGGGAGCTGCTACTCACTCTTGCTGGATGACAGGCCAGAGGATTACAGGTATATGCCAGAGCAGATGGAGCCAGGGACCTGGGGCACAGGACGGCTTGTTCCAGGCACCAGGAGGTGTCGGAGATGTCAGAGATGTCCAGGGCCTGATGAGATGCAACGGTTCACCCTTCATCAGACGTGCTAGGCCAGATGGAATCAGATTCCCCAAGTTCACTGGGTGACTTCATCGGATCTGTCGCTCCACCACTGACAAACTGAAACTTCAGGCAAGTCACTTTCCCTCTCTGAGCCTCAGGCATTCAGAAATAAAATTCCACTGAAAGAATCCAGTGTCACTGAGAGGGGCACAGAGGGGATTTAGGGACTTCAAAGGACGTGGTGATGTTTCTTTTCTTAAACTAGGTGCTGGGTACATGGGAATTTATTGTATTATTACATTTTATAATTAATTTTTTTGTTTGTTTGTTTGTTTGTTTGTTTGCTGTACACAGGCCTCTCACTGTTGTGGCCTCTCCCGTTGCGGAGCAGAGGCTCCGGACGCGCAGGCTCAGTGGCCATGGCTCACAGGCCCAGCCGCTCCGCAGCATGTGGGATCTTCCCAGACTGGGGCACGAACCTGTGTCCCCTGCATTGGCAGGCGGACTCTCAACCACTGCGCCACCAGGGAAGCCCCAATGAGTATTTTTAAATCAATATTCTTTTATCTTTATACAATAGTTTAATAAAAACAAAACATACACACTCACAAAATCCATCGCTTTGGTAACTGGCTCTTTGAGCTGGACCACTGCAGGCTGGCACAGGTTCTGCCAGCAGGCTGTTCCCTAACACCGCAATTGTGTGTCTGTATGATTCATCCTGGCCCCAAGCACCACAGAGTCCCGGTATCTGGGACCTGCACTCAGGGAAGGGCCCACGTGCCTCTTCTCCCCATTGAGCAGGACAGGAAAATAAAATGGTGAATGTGCGAGCAGGCATGCTGGCACTGGTAACTCATGTTTAAACTGAATTCTTAACCACATTAAAAGTCTGAATATATTCAACCTAGGCGTAAAGACTTCATAAAATCTCCACTCACATGTCCACAGGACCAGGCTGAAGATGCTCCCACATGAATGTAATGACTCACAGCTGTCATGCCCCAAACAGACACTCCAAGCCTGAATATTCTCTGCTGCAGGAGCTGCACCTCCAGGGGTGGCAGCCAACCCTCTCTGCAGGACTTTCAGACAAGCTGAACTTGCCCAGCCAGCCAGCAACAGCATCTACTAGCTCATCCAGGTTTCCAGAAACCCCATCCTTATTTTTTTGTGCCTCATCATCCCAGAGGGCATAAAATAGTTCATTTCAAGTTTTGAAACATATGTTTACTTCAGTGACTCTGAATGACTGACTACTGAGCCTGAAGCTTTGATGATGAAACTATGCAGCAGACCCCTCTGCTGCATAGTAATTATTACTACTAATAGTAGTAGTAATTATTACTACTAATTATTACTACTAATTAGTAGTAATTATTACTACTAATTATTACTACTAATTATTACTACTAATTATTACTACTAATAATAAATGTGGTGCTATTTACATTTATTTTTTCTCAAACTTAAAACACTCATGAAAGATATTCCCTCTATCTGACAGATGAAATAACGGGAGGCTCAGAAAGGTTAAATAACTTGCTAGTAATGGGAAAGCCAGGATGCAGACTCAAGGTGGTCTGGCTCCAGACTGTGTTCAGCAATATGGGATGAAAGATCTTACCGGGGGCAGACGCCCTGTGTGGGAGAGACAGCTAAAAAGGACTCTGTCTTGGGGGAAAGAGAATCAACATCCCCAAGACCCACCCTGTCACAAACTGGGGTATGTTCACATGTCTTGTGCTCTTGTGACTTGCCAAGCTGACTCTGAGCCCACTGGACCGGGTGATTCTTGTCTGTGCAATGAGGATGCCACAGACAGAAGATGCTACTTCCTGCTTCCAGTCTGGTCATCTGGTCACTGCCCCACCAGGCGTCACCTGGAGGAGCAGCCTGGCTTGTCCTGCCCACTCACCTGTTTACCTGTGCTCAGAGGCCAACTCCTACAGACAGGTTTCTTTCTAGCAGCTGGTCAGTTTCACTTCCTGGTTGACACCCAGCAGCCCCAAAACAACAACAAAGACTCACTGCCTCTGAAGCCTACCCTCCCCGAGTTCATTCCTGATACTTTGCTGTGCAAGGAAAGTTCAACAGCTCCCTTCCTGTTTTAGAGAATCAAGGGGTGTTGGGTCACTGGCACTGCCTCTTTATTAGGGAGGTTTAAAAAACCCATCCACAGGGCTTCCCTGGTGGCTCAGTGGTTGAGAGTCCGCCTGCCGATGCAGGGGACACGGGTTCGTGCCCCGGTCCGGGAAGATCCCACATGCCACGGAGCGGCTGGGCCCGTGAGCCGTGGCCGCTGAGCCTGCGCGTCCAGAGCCTGTGCTCCGCAATGGGAGAGGCCACACCAGTGAGAGGCCCACGTACCGCAAAAAAAAAAAAAAAAAAAAAACCTGATAACTAATAAGGACCTACTGTATAGCACAGGGAACTCTACTCAATACTCTGTAATGGCCTATATGGGAAAAGAATCTTAAAAAAAAGAGTGGATATATGTATAAATGATTCACTTTGCTGTACAACTGAAACTAACACAATATTGTAAATCAACTATACTCCAATAAAAATTATATATATATGTATAAAAAAACCCATCCACAAACATTTGTTGAGCTGTTCTGTGTGTCAGGTTTAATCCTGGGTGCTGGGGACACAGAGGCAAGTGAGTCATGAGCCTACCCTCAGGGAGCCCACAAACACTGAAAAGAACCCACACAGAGGGCAAAGAGCCCGACTCAGGGAAACACTAGGAAATACTAGAAAGCACAACCAGATCACTGCTACGCCGTCTTCTGAGGAAGGGATGGTTAGAGCTTTAAAGGGGTCTTCACGGCAGGTCAGAAGTCTAGTATTCCCCATCTGTCTTCTATGGACCTTTCAGTGCAGCACTGGGAAAGGGTAAGCCAAGGCCTAGTGCCACACTGTCCAACACGATAGCCACTAGCCATGTGTGGCTTCGTAAATTTAATTTAAATTAAAAGTTCCATTTCTCAGTCACACTAGTGGTTACTCTATTGGACTGTGCAGACATAGGGCATTTCTATCATCACAGAAAGCCCTAGTGGACAGTGCTGGCTGGAGGATCACACATCTGGATTCCAATGCCAGCCCTTCTATACTACTTACCAGTCATGTGACCTTGAACAAGTGGCTCTACCTTTCTGTACCTCAGTTTTTTCTTCTGCAAATGGGGATACTTTCCTCAAAGTCTGGTGTGAAGATAAAATGAACTAATGCAAGTAACACCCTTAGAATCACAGTGACCAGGTACACAGCACTCAATAAATGCTAGTATTATTATCACTAGTCCATAGCATCTAGGAGGCAGATATTGTGCCTCATGTCACTGTCTCTGTCTTGGTGCTGCCAGCACAGCAGATGCCCAGCAAATGCCTATCAATTCCTTTTCCCTGGCTGTTTTCATCCGGGGCTAGGTGACACAAATCTGCCACCAGGGGGTGAGAGGTGGGAGTACTCACATCTGTAGAGATGGTTCCACACAGGGAAGAAGGCCATGTAGAGGGCCACATCCCCCACTGTCGGGTAGGACTTGAAGATGGAGATGATGGCAATCTGGATGAACATGAAGAAGATAGGGTGCTCCCTGGGTAAGACAGGGCAGACAGACAGAGAGAGGAAGATCGGTCAGGGACCAGGCCCAGCCCAGAGACTCCTGACCCCATCCCTGAAACCCAAAAATACTCTCCAGGGGACTTCATGGAAGCATTGGCTCTGCTACCCACAAGACACGGGGCCGGGCCAAGCAGCAGAGCAGAAAACTGCAGGGACCCAGAGATGCCCAGAGGTGGTGAGAAGAGCCCAGCAAACACTAGAGAAAGAGCCCACAGAGATGTTTCAATCAAGCCCCACCCCTGCCAGCTCTGGGCCTTCCGCCAGGAGCCGCCGAGGAAGAGAACACATGAAGTCAGCGCCCTTTATTACTGGGCTTAAATGACTGCTTGTCAGAGTTATCAGGCAGCCACCCATGCCAGAGGCCCCTCTAACACTGCACCCAGGGCAGGAGGTGCCTCCTTGCTGATACTTTGTTTCTCTGACAACAGGGTCAGTGGGGACTACAGATCTTTAGCTATGATGAGCTTCTTTCCAGAAAGAGAACTGACAGCTGCATGCAGCTTTTCGCTCTTAAGGGCTGGAATTGGAGTTCTTGTTACCTTAAACTAGTAACACTGCCTACCATTTCCTGAACCCTCACTTGTGCAAAGTTCTGTGCTAGGCCCTTTTCTTGCATCATTACATGTGATCCTCACTATACCTCAACTACCCCTCTAGATAGGCAATGCTGTCACCACATTTGCAGCTGAGGAAATCAGGTTCAGAGAAGATAAGAGAGTCTGTAAGTGATGGAGCTGTTTGTCTCTAGAACCCCTAAGCACCACCAGTGCTATTCTCCTGAGTGCCCAGCAGGATCACAGCTCTGATCAAGGAGGATGAGACAGAACTCAATCTCCTGTGCTCCTCCGAGAACTGACCAAGTGCTGAAGGGAAGCCAACAGGAAGAAGCGAGCTGTGCACCCTGCTCAGCTACACCTAAACAACATGCACGTGGCCTACTTCCACACAGGACATGGATATCCAGCTCATGAAGGTTTTCTTCAGGTTAATGGCATGGATTCTCCTCTTGCAGGTCAAAGGTCAGGGTGACTCAACGGGTATAAATCTGAGATGTGGAGACAAACGTGTACACACCCAAACACTATATAGCAAATGACTCAGAAACTCAGCTTGGCAAAGTCACGCAGTCCTGTAGCCTCTAGGAAGGGTCCACCTACCTCAATGAGCATCTTCCTAAAGCTAATCCAAGTCACTGGCTCTGGGCTTCTTAGGTAGCTGGTAACAGCTGCACCATTCCTATGAAAAAGCTAATGACAATGTAGTACCAAAAAACATGGAGACCAGAACCCCCTGCAACAGTGCCTGGGGAGAGGCGCCCTGGAGGGCCTGTTCTCACAAAGCTGGCACTGCAGGGGCCAGAGTGGAACTTCATATCCAGGCACAGGAGGGCAGCTGCAGAGGAGGTCAGGTATCTTCGTATCTTCTGTCCCCACAACTCTGAGGTCCTGGCTGGGGTTGGGTGGAGGGGAGGGTGTCACAAGATGGTGGTGCTACTGTCTACCCAGGAGCTGTCTGTGGCCTTTCACGTGCCAACAACAGAAGCTGCTGGAGAGCTGGCTACACAGAGTGAGGAAAGGTGCTCCGGGCTCCCTGCTTCTCTCAGCCCAGTGGCTGGGCCTGACCAGAACAAGGGCAGGAAATGTGGACCACAGACAGCTGAAGAGCTTGGCTGAGTAAGGCTGCCAGGATTCTGGAGCCTGCCGGGCCAAGGAAGAATGGTTTTCTGTCAGATACCAGGCCAAGGCTATGTCATGGGAAGGAAACATCGACTCTGAGCTTTTATAGACTAGGAACCATGTGCATTGGTTCACTGGCCATGGAGAATGGCAGGAAGGTTTGAGCAGAGAACTCAAGCTCTTAAAATCTAAATCAAACTCTTCCAGCCTCCCTGGACCACACAGGCATATCTATGCCTGTTGGTGCCTGTTTTCCCTTCTCTGAAGCTAGGATAATAGAACCATTTCTGGGACCTACTATAAGTGATCTCTCTCAGGAGCCTGGCATGGTGCAGGGGACTGAGCATAGATTCTGGAGCCAAGCAAACCTGGGTCTGAATCCCTGCTCCATGCTTACTGACTGCGTGACTCCGGGAAAATTGTTCCACCTCTCTGAACGGCAATTTCCTCAACTATAAAATGGAAGTGATAATAACATAATGCCTACCTCCAAGAGTTGCTGGAAGGGTTAGGTATGAATATTGTCAAAAAGCCTAGAAAGGTGGGATGGACAAAACATGTTAGCCCTCTTACACTGCAGAAGAGAGCTTTATAGGCAACCCTTTTGAGGGAAACTGATCAGATGATTAAACAGAGCTGCAGGTAGCCAGCCTCCCAACTAATACATCCTGAGTCCCTTTGAGCAAACTGTCACTGGGATGCTGATGAACACCCAAAAAGATCCACTTTTTCCAAGGATACCTTCCACACCCCAACACTGCTCTTGTTTAGAACAGTGACTGGGCTCAGCAGCAATGTGGGTTCAAGTCCCCCAAAGTGAGGCCAGGGGAAATACAGGGCTCCAAAGCACTGTCTCTGCACCCTGTACTCACGTGTGATTCTATTGCTGCGTGCAGCCAAGCCACTGAAGCGACTGAGGGCAGGGTTCCCTGGGCAAAAATGGCACAAACCTGATAGCAGATGTTCCCAGTTTGAAGGGCACCTGTAAAGCTACAAATGACTCTGTGGACAAAAAACCAGCAGGTCCAACCACTTACTTTAGCTTTATGGCTAAGGGGATGGTGTAGAAGAAGACGTTGATCTGAAACACACATACGAAGAAGAGGCTGAAGTGCTCAAACATCTCTGCAAAGAAGTACCAGAAGAGGCCAATGTTTGGAGTAAGATCTGGAACGGAAAGTCTGGAATAAAGATAAAAAAGGGAGAGAAAAAACACAGAGAAGTTATGAATGATCTGCTTTGACCTGGTTTTCTCCTGAAGGCTTTGGTCGCTGCTGGGCAGTCAAGGATGACTTTGTCTCCACAGAGGTCAGGATGTGAGGGGCTCTCCAGGCAACCGGGATATATGTAATTAACAAAAACAAGGGGCAGAGACACAGAGAATAATAACCCATAAAAAATATTGCCTGAACCAAACTCTGGCATGCATCAAAGAGCTGAGACAAGGCAGGGATTCGTGCTAGAAATCAAAAGACCAGCCCCTCTTTTACTGCCCAAGATATATGTGCTCAAAACCAGGAAATGCCCATCACTGTAGCAAAAGAGGAATGGGTTTGAAATAAACAATACCTATTTTGAGCATTCTAAAGACTTGTCTGGAAGACAAGGTCAAAGATCCTGTTCCTGCCCATTCTTGTTCCACATGCCCACAGCAGGAGCCAGAAGACTGAGTGCCTGACACTGCAGTGAGACGTCTAGGGGCCCGAGGAACCACTGCCAGGTTCTGGCTAGGATCCCAGACCTTGTTTGAGAAATAAGGGTTTAACTGGAAAACTTTTTGTCTGGTTATATCAGATAAAGATTGGCTGCAATTCTGGCCGTTCTAAAAATTTTACATTACATTAAAAAATATATAAGGGGTTGAAACTGATGTCAATTTACAATTTTAAAAGTACAAGTGAAGCATGGAAAGGGAGAGAGAGGCAATAGTTCATGGTCAGATTTCTCTGACGAAGGCCTCCACCCAGGGCAAGTCTTTGCTTCCTGCTGTAACTACATTTCCTTTTCTGTGAAATGAGGTAAAGAACACAATCTGTGGACCAGCAGAAAACTAGGAAAAGTTATTCATCGGCGTTATAAACTCTTATCTGAGGCAGAGCATGAAAAGCTGAAGGTTACTAAGTCATTGTTAGGCTCAGCCAGGATTTAACACAAATAAGCAGCCCAGAATCCCAAAGGGGAGCCTGCCACAGATCCCTTTCCCACCCTGGCAGGTTTAAGTGTCTATCACCCACTGAGCTGTGAGTTCCTTCAGGCTTGGGCAGTTATCTTCCTCAGCATATCACAGACAGAATATGTGGAAATGCCTGCAGAATTCATCCTGCAAACCCTTTTTGATTTTCTCTAAAAGTCTGACATATTTTATTGGCTTTATTTTAAAACTGCTGGAGACCCTCTTGCAATAGAGGAATACATCCATTACTGTTTCGGATTGAATCAAAACCTCCCAGTCAGAGGCTGGTAGTTGCTCTGGATGTTCCCAGAGAGTGTTCTTTAATCGCACTAGATCAAGCCAGTGGTCCTCAAAGAGTGTTCCCTGGACTGGCAGCAACAGCATCACCTGAAAATTTATTAGAAATGCAAATTCTGGGGTCCCTACTCCAGACTTACTTAATCAGAACCTCTGGAGGTGGAGACCAGCAATCTGGGTGTTGAAGCCCTGCAGGTGATTCTGATGCACACTAAAGTTTGAGGACGACTGCTCTAGATGCTGCCTGTGCTTGCTCGCCCTCTGATTCCAGGTGGAGCTGTGAAAACTAAATTAGCTTCCAGAGGTTTTCTAATGAGGTCATTACTTACATGAAGCCATAGACTGCAGGGATGAAATCCCAGGAACTGAGAAGGAAGAAGGAGAGGCAAACAATTACCACCAGGCTTCCCAAGTACATCGTAGCATACTCCCAAGAGAAGATCCAGAAGGCTTTGCTCTTCACTTTCACGGGTATGTATTGCCGCTGGGAGAGAAGGCAGAATGGTACATTTAAGGATCTCAAGGACAAACAGCAGTTATCAGACTAAACTTCAAGATCCCTCCTGGAAAACACAGGACACAGAATAGGTGAAAAATCAAAGGATTGAAAATATATGCTAGGTAAACACTAACCAAAAGAAAATTAGTTTGGTTATTGTTACCAGATAAAATAGACTTTAATGTAAAACGTAATGCAGAGATAAAGATGTTCTATCATGATAAAACGTTCATCAGAAAGATATTACAGCTCTAAACTTGCAGGTACCTAATAACACAGTCTCAAGGTATATAAAACAAACTTGGACAGAGCTACAAAGGAAAAAATACACAAATCCATCATCAGTGGATAACTAGTAGATCTAATAGACAAAAATCAGTAATGAAGTAGAAATATGAATAACACACTTCATGAATTTATTCACAAAAGATCTTAAAAAACAAATACACTCGGGCTTCCCTGGTGGCGCAGTGGTTAAGAATCCGCCTGCCAATGCTGGGGACATGGGTTTGATCCCTGGTCCGGGAAGATCCCACATGCCGCGGAGCAACTAAGCCTGTGCGCCAAAACTACTGAGCCTGTGCTCTAGAGCCTGTGAGCCATAACTATGGAGCCCGTGTGTCACAACTACTGAGCCTGTGCTCTAGAGCCCATGAGCCACAACTACTGAGCCCCTGTGCCACAGCTACTGAAGCCCACTCGCCTAGAGCCCTGCTCTGCAACAAGAGAATCCATCACAACGAGAAGGCCACGTACTGCAACGAAGAGTAGCCCCCACTCGCTGCAACCAGAGAAAAGCCCGCGCACAGCAATGAAGACCCAACTCGGCCAAAAACAATAAATAAAATAAAATAACAAAATAAACAAATTTATATAATATAAAAAGACAAATACACTTATAAAACAGGGTACCTGGAGGATTCACATTCATTTAAAACATTTTGGGGGATTTATAAAAACTGACCACATACCTGAATCAGGCCATAAAGCAATATCAACAGACTTTAAGGAATCTGTATCATAGAGACCTCATGCTCTGACCATAATGCAATTTCTCAAAATCTTTAATAAAAAGATTACCTATAAATACATTAGGAAAGTGTTAAACACTTTTGCAAATAACTCAGGAGTCAAAGAAGGAATGATAACAGATAGCTTTGATGTTAGAAATTAATGGCTGGGACTTCCCTGGTGGCGCAGTGGTTGGGAGTCCTCCTGCCAATGCAGGGGACACGGGTTTGAGCCCTGGTCCGGGAAGATCCCACATGCCGTGGAGCAACTAAGACAGTGCACCACAACTACTGAGCCTGCACTCCAGAGCCCGTAAGCCACAACTGCTGAGCCCGTGTGCTGCAACTACTGAGGCCTGCGTGCCAGGAGCCCGTGCTCCGCAACAGGAGAGGCCACCGCAATGAGAAGCCTGCACACTGCAACAAAGAGTAGCCCCTGCTCACCACAACCGGAGAAAACCCATGCGCAGCAATGAAGACCCAAAGCAGCCAAAAATAAATTTAAAAAAAAAGTTATAAAAAAAAAAGAAATTAATGGTTATAAGAGAATTCCCTGGCAGTCCAGTGGTTAGGACTCCGTGCTTCCACTGCTGGGGGCCTGGGTTTGATCCCTGATCGGGGAACTAAGATCCCGCAAGCAACGCAGCACAGACAAAAAAAAAGAAAGAAATTAATGGTTATGAAAATACCTTATATCACTATTCAGGTAATACAGATAAAACAGTACTCTGAGGGAAACATACAACCATATTAATCATATTTGAATGGAAGGCTGAAAATAAATAAACATCCTTTTTAAGATATTAGAAAAAGAACAGAATACACTTCAAAAAAAGGAAGGAAATAATAAAAGTAAGAGTAGAATCTGTGGAAACAGAAAACAAAGTTATAACACAGGCACACCTCATTTTACTGCACTTTGCTGTATTGTACTTCACAGACACTGTGCTTTTCACAAACTGGAGGTTTGTGGCAACCCTAAGGGCACAATTTTTCCAAAAGCATTTGATCACTTCATATCTCTGTGTCACATTTTGGTAATTCTTGCAATATTTCAAACTTTTTCATTATTATTGTTATGGTGACCCGTGATCAGTGATCTTTGATGTTACTATTGTAATTGCCTTGGTAAACCATGAACTGCATCCATACAAGACAGCGAACAATTGATAAACGTGTGTGCTCTGACTGCTCCATTGACCAACTGTTCCCCTGTCTCTCTCCCTCTCCTCAGGCCTCCCGATTCCCTGAGACATAACAATATTAAAATTAGGCCAACTAATAACCCTACAGTGGCCTCTAAGTGTTCAAATCAAAGGAAGTGTTGCATACTTCTCACTTTAAATCAAAAGCTAGAAATAGGCTAGCCTGAACCAAGATGGCGGAGTAGAAGGACGTGCTCTCACTCCCTCTTGCGAGAACACCAGAATCACAACTAGCTGCTGGACAATCATCGACAGGGAGACACTGGAATACCAAAAAAGATATCCCACATCCAAAGACAAAGGAGAAGCCACAATGAGATGGTAGGAGAGGCGCAATCACAGCAAAACCAAATCCCATAACTGCTGGGTGGGTGACTCACAGACTGGAGAACACTTATACCACAGAAGCCCACCCACTGGAGTGAAGGTTCTGAGCCCCAAGTCAGGCTTCCCCACCTGGGGGTCTGGCAACGGGAGAAGGAATTCCTAGAGAATCAGACTTTGAAGGCTAGTGGGATTTGATTGCAGGACTTCAACAGGACTGGGGGAAACAGAGACTCCACTCTTGGAGGGCACACACAAAGTAGTGTGCACATCGGAACCCAGGAGGGAAGGAGCAGTGACCCCTGGAGAGACTGAACCACACCTACCTGCTGGTGCTGGAGGGTCTCCTGCAGAGGCGGGGGGGGGGGTGGCTGTGGCTCACCATGGTGACAAGAACACTGGCAGCAGAAGTTCTGGGAAGTACTCCTTGGCGTGAGCCCTCCCAGAGTCTGCCATTAGCCCTACCAAAGAGCCCAGGTAGGCTCCAGTGTTGGGTTACCTCAGGCCAAACAACAAACAGGGAGGGAACCCAGTCCCACCCATCAGCAGTCAAGCAGATTAAAGTTTTACTGAGCTCTGCCCACCAGAGCAACACCCAGCTCTACCCACCACCAGTCCCTCCCACCAGGAAACCTGCACAAGCCTCTTAGATAGCCTCATCCACCAGAGAGCAGACAGCAGAAGCAAGAAGAACTACAGTCCTACAGCCTGTGGAACAAAAACCACATTCTCAGAAAGATAGACAAGATGAAAAGGCAGAGGGCTACGTACCAGATGAAGGAACAAGATAACACCCCAGAAAAACAACTAAATGAAGTAGAGATAGGCAACCTTCCAGAAAAAGAATTCAGAAAAATGATAGTGAAGATGATCCAGGACCTCAGAAAAAGAATGGAGGCAAAGATCGAGAAGATGCAAGAAACGTTTAACAAAGACCTAGAAGAATTAAAGAACAAACAAACAGAGATGAACAATACAATAACTGAAATGAAAACTACACTAGAAGGAATCAATAGCAGAATAACTGAGGCAGAAGAACGGATAAGTGACCTGGAAGACAGAATGGTGGAATTCACTGCTGCGGAACAGAATAAAGAAAACAGAATGAAAAGAAATGAAGACAGCCTAAGAGACCTCTGGGACAACATTAAATGCAACATTTGCATTATAGGGGTCCCAGAAGGAGAAGAGAGAGAGAAAGGACCAGAGAAAATATTTGAAGAGATTATAGTCGAAAATTTCCGTAACATCAGAAACGAAATAGCCACCCAAGTCCAGGAAGTGCAGCGAGTCCCATACAGGATAAAAACAAGTAGAAACATGCCGAGACACATAGTAATCAAATTGGCAAAAATTAAAGACAAAGAAAAATTATTGAAAGCAGCAAGGGAAAAATGACAAATAACATACACGGGAACTCCCATAAGGGTAACAGCTGATTTCTCAGCAGAAATTCTACAAGCCAGAAGGGAGTGGCATGATATATTTAAAGTGATGAAAGGGAAGAACCTACAACCAAGATTACTCTACCCAGCAAGGATCTTATTCAGATTCGATAGAGAGGTCAAAAGCGTTACAGACAAGCAAAACCTAAGAGAATTCAGCACCACCAAACCAGCTTACAACAAATGCTAAAGGAACTTCTCTAAGTTGGAGACACAAGAGAAGAAAAGGACCTACAAAAACAAACCAAAACAATTAAGAAAATGGATATAGGGACGTACATATCGATAATTACCTTAAACGTGAATGGATTAAATGCTCCAAGCAAAAGACATAGGCTTGCTGAATGGATACAAAAACAAGACCTATATATATGCTGTCTATAAGAGACCCACTTCAGACTTCGGGACACATACAGACTGAAAGTGAGGGGATGGAAAAAGATATTGCATGCAAATGGAAATCAAAAGAAATCTGGAGTAGCAATACTCATATCAGATAAAATAAACTTTAAAATAAAGAATGTTACAAGAGACAAGGAAGGACACTACATAATGATCAAGGGATCAATCCAAGAAGAAGATATAACAATTATAAATATATATGCACCCAACATAGGAGCACCTCAATATATAAGGCAACTGCTAACAGCTGTAAAAGAGGAAATCGACAGTAACACAATAATAGTGGGGGACTTTAACACCTCACTTACACCAATGGAGAGATCATCCAAAATGAAAATAAATAAGGAAACAGAAGCTTTAAATAATACAATAGGTCAGATAGACTTAATTGATATTTATAGGACATTCCATCCAAAAACAGCAGATTACACTTTCTTCTCAAGTGCACACAGAACATTCTCCAGGATAGATCACATCTTGGGTCAGAAATCAAGCCTCAGTAAATTTAAGAAAATTGAAATCATATCAAGCATCTTTTCTAACCACAACGTTATGAGATTAGAACTCAATTACAGGGGAAAAAAACCGTAAAAAACACA